GACGTTGGCATTCAGTGTGTATGAGGAATGGCGTACTTCAGAAGGGTGAGCAAGCGGGTGGCATGCCATATGTTCGTCTGTCTACGGTCTTGGATGTGGGTATGGAAAACTACCTACTGGGTAATTTGGGTTTCCAAACATATGCTTGGAATGTATGCCCTCTGCAGAAGAGGTTCGTTCGAGAGTTTGCCTGCTATTCATATTCTGATATGGCTGCATACTATTTTGCCTGCTTTCTCCATACCTGGGGTAGCCTGTGTTATGAGGGTCAACAGTTTTATCACCACTACATACAGGGTCATCCGTAGAACCAGCAGATGTCAGCGAAATGATTTGAGACGTGGCTGTTTGGGTATTCTAAGCATTTAGGCAGTCATTAGCTGGGGAACATCTGTTTTTTAGGTAGTATAGGTTGTTAGCCTATATTACTTTTGTAAGTTGACCATTGGCTCACAGTCTTTTCTGATACTATCTTAAAGTTCCTTAGTTTAATAGTGAGAATTACAGTGTCACAAGAACCGATACACAAGGTACCCCTTTGTTGGCTATCAGAAACAGATAGAACTGGGTGGCAGTATTTCTGGCGTTTTCTTGGAGAGCCTAAAACAGCTTCATGGAATATCTAACGTGTTAGCAGCGTTAAGAACTACTTTCTTCACGGTATTTATAGGCACTTTATCTGGGATATTGTATACAGTTGCCCTCTGACCGGCTGCTATGCGCTTTATGACCTCGGGAGAGAAATGACTGATCACATTCCCTGCACTTAGCACAACGTCAGGCTCGGTCTGGACCTTGCTTCCAGTGTCTGGGAGGGTCGTGTTAAATCTGGTGGTCAGCGGCTTTAAAGGCGCAACTTCCTGCATATCTCACACTATATCCACTATGTTGACTCGAATTGTATCAACTGAAAGGATCTTAGGGCAGAGTTCGTTGACTCACAGCTGTAGGTCTTGGATGGTTTCTTTAGGTTGAAAACAGTTTAGAGTTCCCTACCGAGAATTATCAATTCAGACTCAACCGTCAGTACAACACCTGGAAGATCTATTACAGCTTTCGTCTGTGCACTAATGCTATCTACGGTTGTTTTAAGACACAGATAGTCCACAGTTGTTGGGCCAATCATCGGGCTGTTTGTCAAAGCATTTGCCAGTTTGAAAATCGATGTCGTGCCTAATTTCGCATGGATGTAATCCTTGTTAGAACTCACATCAGTTTCATTCTAGAACGGAAGCAGGTTGAGAGTTGTTTTTCACTACCATGTATTTTGCTGAGGCATTCACGAGCACGGTTATTTGAGCTTTGACCCATAGTTTAACGGTACTTCTTCCCGCTAGAATGAGGTCAGAGGACTGCTATATGGTAAGTAGCACAGGAAGATTCCTGCCAGTCACCAGTTATGAATACCTGTACAAAGGCTTGTCCAGGCAGCAGGGATGATTCAAAAGCACAGAAGTGCGAAAATCTGTGCCGTGCGAACACTATTAGTGAACAACAGTGTAAATCTACAGCGAAAAGCAAAGTAGCATGAACTAAGGATAGCAGAAACCGACGAAACCAGGGGAAAAAGGGAGGAAAACGGGGAAAACTAGTAGTGGGCAAAAGGGGGAATGCATCAAGCAACGGCATTTTTCACACCGGTGGGGTCTGCCCCATTTTTTCCCACGACTTCTCTGTTTTTACCCTTTACTTCCCACCCGTTCCCGTCTTTTGCCCACGACTTCGTCTTTTATACGCTTTAGTTCCCCACTCATTCTCAATTTTCGTAACAATTCCCAACGCATACCCATTTATTCACATAAGTGTACCCAATCGTTACCACTTTTCGTTCCTATATTTCCTAAATAAGTGTGCCTTCTACACAAGCCACAGCAATTCCCGAGTATGCATATTCAGTGAATAGAAAGACAATTATTAGAAAAATATAGGTATATTTAAAGTTTAGTGTGATACAGGTTAATTCTACATCTACTGCGTTTCTCAAACGCTCGTCGGATTTTTCGTTAGCCGACTGAGCAGGCGTCACCCGTAGGAATAAAAGACAAATAATTAACCGCAGTTTCCACATACACATCACCCAATTGAACATTAACCCACTGTTTAAGGAATGATTAAAGGCATTGATAAGCAATAGCACTCCCGGTTACTTACACTGCTTTTTTCCGACTAAACTGCTTGTGTATTTTATCTCGCAAGTAGTGGAAGTAAGCTTTTGTAGTTGTATCCATAATATCTTCCAACTCATTCACGTGCAAAGTGCCTGAGATGAACTGACTCGCGACAACGACTAGAGGGATGTAATTACTAAGTTTCTACCTACCCCTCATCATTTGAAATGATGATAAGATGTAAAATGCACCCTTGGTCAGTGTTCCACGAAAAACCTACTTCACTGCCAGAAATGGACTGACGATTGTGAAAGTCATCACTCTGAGGAATGACTTTGGGCCCCCCTGCAGCTTTCTTGTCATTTTCGCAATCTGCAGAATTAAATGAGTGTGGGTCAACTTACGAATCTATCAAAAAATCTGTCATGTTTAAGTGAAGATTCCAGAATTTGAACATCTTCATGGGTGCTGAGTGGGAATCGGAGGTGAAAGTCATTGACAGACAGAGATGTGCTGTCTCCCCTTCCCTTGTCAGCCTTTTATGGATTCAACTTTTTCAGCTGCGTCTTCTCCAGACGCTGCATGGGCTGTGTATGGGATAGGTATAAAGGTAAGTGGGTACCCGTTAGCTCTCTGATAGCCGACAGTATAGTGTGGCTGTCCGTCTTTAAGCAACTGTGGGAAATTGGTGTTTACTGAGGAAGTCACTTACGTGATGCTAACAGGCATTGGTTATGAAGTGGAAATTAGAAAACGCATGGTAGAAGGTTTGGGAAAATAACAACGCGTTTTATACTTACCTCACGACTGGCGATATCGTACTTTCCAGAAAGTTCATCATTGGGTGTGCTGAAGGTGCACACTTCAGCTGCATTTGCAAGATGTTCTCGTCCACGGAATTTTCCACGTGTTCCGTGGTTTGTTTATTTGTGTCCCTTACAGTAAAATATACGTGTACATAGTCAATCTTACCGCTTCATTTTCTTCGAAGGAATAGGAAGATTATCTTTATCACCCTCTTCCTCACACGTAATCACATTTTTAAAAATCTGCAGTTATTTTTGTGTCCTGGAAAGCGATCCTAGATTCCTCAAATCCACTACCTACTTAACTCACCACTTTCATACAACAGCCAGCATTTCGTAAGCTTCCAATCTCCTTTTGGTTGGAGATTCTCCCCCAAGTCAAAAGAACAAATGTCCTCTGACAGTGGACAAAAGTTGTTAGGCAAAAGCCAATCAGTAGAAACAACTAGCATGCAATTCTTCCCTGTAAAGTCGATGAGACAGAAGCGATTGCTGGAAGACTATAACGTTGTTTGGCGTTAACATTAAACGCCTGTGCGAAATTAGGCAAAAACGAAAGTAACCGCATGAATCAAAAAGCCTCATGGGAACCCTGACAAATAAGCTCGGAAGGCAATTACCACCCGAGTTTCCGGTCACACGGAAGCATAATCCACATGTGTGATAGATATGCTATTTATCAAAGATGGAGATGCGACGGAACACTGAAAGGCCATAAATACCAGAAGTAGTGCTCAACAATAGCTACTGTACGCAGGTGAGACTTGATATTTTTCGTGATAACTTATTCATTTGGAGTACGGGGATCACGGTAAATAAAGTGTTAACTTACGTAAGATGCAGTAACAGCGGACTGGAGCAGCACGACTACACTAGAAAGCAGCCTTCGATAACTGCGTTGCACTAAACTCATCATGCATTCAAACGTGCCTTGACAATATGGGGAGGATACCATTAAAACGGAGGCAAAGCTTCTTTAGGTATTTGTTATTAATGAGGCTTCCTACATGCCCTAATCATAGTGCGTGATGCCCACTGACAATCATGAAAATGTGGTGAATGAGATGTATTTTTGGAAGACCACGGTTGCTGACATTCCGCAATACATTTCAGAAACTTGCGGAGAAGGTATGAGCAATTGGGACAATAACCTCATAATTCTGCTTCGGTATGCTGATACACTTGCACCTAACTTTATAAATGCGAGAGTTTAACAACGGACAGTCCACCTTGCCCAAATGAAACATATTGGGTATTGGTTACAGGAGGAGTTGATAGCAGCTTTCCCAGGCTAGGCAGTCGGAATAAAAATGGACATTTAACGAGACGACCACCACAATGATTAACACATGCTCTTAGCCTATTGTCCTCGCCGCTGAATACTCTTCATCAAGTAGACTACCCCAACGGGTCCAAAACCGACAGTCCCACAGGAGCCCTACTCACATACCTCAACAGAAAGGCAAGACGAGACTGACATCCAACTTCATACGCAGAGCTTGTGCTTCACGAGACGCTTTGCAGAAGGAAGTAGCCATAGCGGCAAGAGTTGGCTCCTTAAAACCAATGCTCGATAGGTACGTCAGAGCAAACTGCTTAACACGAACGTTAGCCGTTAGCAACTGAAGATGTGATCATCCCTCTCAGAATTATACAAAACCGGTATCTGCAATAAGTGTCTTTCCTTCTCCATATTAGTACTAGTAACATTTGATTTCATATAAGTACTTTTCCCTCCCCCTTCCTCATTTCCGCTCAACAGTTTTCTAGCACTATTTTTTAAGTAATATTTGATACCTGCTTGCAAGTGCTTGGGAGAACAGAATTTGCAAAAGGTTAGTTGATCTTGTTAGCAACTCCACTGTTCCCTCAAAAAAGCCAGGCTACAATTTACAATAAAAACCTTCAAACATACAGTCACTTCCTCTGAAGCTACAAGCAGGTAAACTGCAAAGACTTCTATGACCACTTTAGGGGTTAAAACCTGAAAAGTATCGATTCTCAAGACTGAAAGTGACAGCTCAAAAGCTGCAAATTTCCTTTACTCGCTTTATTAACGTTGGGCATTGTTGAATGCTGGATACGTGGCGAAATTTCGACTGTTCAAGGTTGAGTGGTAAGTCGTGATCAGTTTATCTAATACCTGCTACATATGAATACCATATTCATAACTCGTCGACAATTTTTCGCATCACCTAAAATTAAACATTTTTAAGTAACTACATATACGTCTAGGAAAGAACGAAGTCTTCCCGCTATTTTTGATATCATTTTTTTGAATCTATGTAAACTAGTTGATTTCTTTGCTCATGCTTCTGCATCCTGTGCAACGGTCCTATATCTGTGCGGATTCTAATGTGATTGATTCCATCAATCGCCGGTGGGATCACTAGTAAATTCGATGAGTCCCAGCCAGCTGAGACATTTCCTACGATGCCCTTACACGTGGACTAGCGTTCCCAACGATAGCTTTAGCTCTGGTTTAGCATTTTCTATGATAGTCCTGAATTGGTTTCAACCTTCTCGAAGGTCTCCATTCTTCAGGCCTGATGTTTCCTCTGATTGCCCTACCACTGCCCCAATGTTTTTTTTATTATTACGAAGTGCGCTTTTGGTCAAAAAAGTAAACAGATAACAGGCAATTTTCTGGAAATGTGGTCATAAATCTTCCGAGCCGTTTCCCTTTTCAAAAACATCATTGTCATAACAGTTGTCTTCCACGTCATCAACTGGCACTGTTTCCGATTCTTTGTCATAAGCCTATTAAATAAAAGTAGAATTGAAATGGTTTTGTTTCTTTCGGCCTAATTCTTCTTTGCATCCGTTCACCATAATTGTCACGTTGATCATGAACCCAAGGTTTAATATTTTTCCTCTGTGACTTTTCGAAGTCATCTCCAGTTACATGCTACGTTTTGCAGAATTGTCTGAAAGCTCCTATTGGCAGAATAAAAAATCAGCTGTTTATTTATTGCTTACTTCTCACGCCCAACTCCATGTATGCTTCATATGTCAATCTGGGTCTTCACTGAAATCCAGGATAAGCTTTTCATGAAGTACTTCTCGAATGAATATTCGACTGTTCGTTTCATGCTGATTTCCACACCCCTAGTAATTAGCTTCGAAATATCAGCAGGCTGTCAAAGAATTAAGTTACGTTTGGAAACTTACTGAGTCCTTCCTATACTAGTTTACCATCTTCATTACCAGATTGTTGAATTCTCTAGAAGTTACAAGGAAATCTAACTCGTTTTTACTTCTTAAACCTCCAGCGCGCTCTAAAGACTTGCTTGTACCTACTTCGTTCCAAAACCTTTCAACAGTTAGTGGTAAGTTCTTTAAACGTGCTAAGGCATGTTGCTATGGTCATGAAATGCAGCACTTACTCAAGATTGCGATACCATCGGCCTTCGTCAATGGCGCGGACATATCAACGCCTTCAAGACTTAATCTAAATAGTAATGTAAAGTTTCACAAGATGTTACAAGTGACTGCTTGTGGCTACCTTGACCCGAGACTTAGACTGAACTGGTGACGTGAATAATACACGCATTGAGTAAAATATCATGCTCTGTGGCAATGGTTCACTGTCCGTTATGTTTGTTGTGCACCCGTTGATCATTATTATTAGTGTTTGGGGTTAGTTTGTCTTTGTAGGTTTTTCACAACGGCAGTATATAGTTCGGTTGGGAGAACTAAAATTGAACCTTCAACCAAAGACGTGGAATATTTACCTCAAACGATGTCCTTGTTAGCATAATCGTTGCTGATAATAAATAATGAGGATGACGAATAAATTGAACTAACACTTTTCTGGTTGATTTTGGCATAGACACTGTGCTGACAGATGCAAACGGTATCGATGCATAAATTAATTTTAAAACCTTACATAAAAACATAGCTTCTTCAACATCGCGTATATCTAACGTGATACTTTACTGTTTAATTGCGCACCCAAGACACTGTTTCTGAATGTTGGCTGGTTCCCATCTCTCCATCACTTCAACGCGACACCTTATTTCCTCCGGTGTTAAATGCTTCTCAATATATATATATATATATATATATATATATATATATATATATATATATATATATATATATATAATTCGAGGGTGGACCGGCTAAATACAATGGAAATGCGCTTGCGTGCTTCCAGAGTTATCCTGCGTCAAGCATATTTCTACAGCATCGCCGAATGTCTTCACCGGCTGCTTTCCCTGTTCTCTTCTGCTCAGATTCAACTACAAAACCCTTGCTGCAATGAAAAAAGTGGCCCGCCTCGTACATTTCTATCATATATCCATGCATGGGGTGATAAATTTATGGATTCCAAAGTATACCCACCAATACTGAAGTTATCCAAAGCTATGAGTGGATATTAGAATAGAATAGAATACGATTAAGCTACTTTGCAAGCTTGCTTCTAGAAGAGAATTTAAGGAAATTTGCTGCCTCTAGGGTGTCATACTGCTGTAAAAAGCTCCCAGAACCGAAAGCGACGTCGCCATAGGTACAGACTCCCAGAGTACTCTAACCATTTCGTCCTGCACTTTCCTTATTCTACGATGAACAATAGAAATAGATTCTAAAATTTTATATCCTATGTAGTCTATTGATGAGAAGAGACGATGGTACATTGAAGAGATCCGTATACGTAAAACCAATGTGGAGTAGAGATTTAACGAAATTTTATAGTTGAGTTCCATTAACCAGAAAATGCAATCCTGCTCTCTGTTCTCATGATACCACAAAATTTGTTCTGTAGACTGCATGGAGAAGGAAATAAGTTTCTTGAAATCCAACTTTCTGAAAAACGGATTCCCAGCATGTTTCATTAGGAAGAATATAAAACACAAGAATACTACCAACCACCAGCACTGTTTCGAAGAAGATATTGTTCTTGAATTTAAAATTCAAGAGAGATACTGCTCACAGTGATCTGAAAAACCATCTGGATTGATCGATTCGTAAGACGTTTCTCATGCAGCAAACTTCAGAATAACATATCAACGTCCCCTTCTAATATGCCCCACAGTAAAGGATAAGTTTCCAAGACTGACCAGTTATTGTGTGTTTACCAGTTCACTTACTCCCGTGAAGTTAGGTATGTAGGTCGTTTGTCTAGACCTCTCCTTCGCCTTATTCGAGGACATCTCTCAGTGTAGCTTAGTAAAGGACAAAGGCCAATCAATTCATCTGTTTTGCAACATGTGGTTGATTCTGGATATTGAACTTCAAATACCTTGTTCTTTATTTTTTACTAAATCCAAACAAAATTTCCTAAACGCTTACATCCTCGCTTGCTACGTATTGCAGAAACCTTGGTAATTTATAATTTGTAGTCAGAGCTATGCATACAACAACAATTTGTTAAGTCTTTCTTTACCATGATCTTAATGTGGTTAACTCATATGGCATCTTAATATCTTAGACATTGACTAATATCATTTCAATTTGTTTCACATGCCTTTGGTATCATTTTTATTTTATTTTACATTTACTTTGTTTGACATCATTCTTGATGTTTTCGTTTTAATTCGAATTCTTGATCATTACTCATATCACACAAACTCAGTTTAAACCTGTCTTATTAGGGTATTTTTACTTATTGCTATCATGTTGATGTTAATGAACAACACAGACTTACTTATACCCCAACTTATTTTATATATTTTGCAAAATTTTCCCCTATAGATGAAACTGTATATCGATTGTTTAGACATTCGCTATCTTATGTATAGGATTTGGACACTGCGGTAGGATGTAGTAGATTTGTCTATTTTATGTAACACACGGTGATACAATTTACTATAGTGTAGTATTCTATATCACTGTGCCATATCAAATAGATTAGTCTACTATCGAACAGTACACCACCATTACATCTCGTCAAACACAACATGCAGAGAATGGTCAGAATATTGTTACATATATATATATATATATATATATATATATATATATATATATATATATATATATATATATATATATATATGATTCCACAGCTTGTGAAAATAAGTTCGTTGGGAAGGATTTCCTTCACTGAACTGTCTGTTCTGTGATGTAATGCGTATAATAAATGTGCTTTTTGGTTACAAGTGCTGAGTAACTTGGTTGCCCATTGACAAAATATCCTTGCGAATTACCCCTTGATCAGACGTACTGATTATTTGCCCGAATAACACGGTGACCCAACGTTTAGGCCAATATGCAGTATATCTGGCCCCACATCAGATCCACAGCCCACCTTTGGGTCCAGTGTTTACTTCATTCGGCCTGATAAACCGATTATGCGCCAATGTTACCCTATATGGTTCGACAAAAATATTGACAAGGATATGATCTGTTGTGAGACTTGCGCGAATGTGTTCTGCAAATGACCTATCGCTAGATTTGCTCACAAAAGGAAGATAAGTAAATTCAGGAGATAACCAAGCGAAACAAATGATATAAAGATTAAAAGAAATAAAAGGAAGGGGATTGAATTATAGAATTGGCATTTCTGAGTGCTTATCAAGAGACGTTAAAGTGACAAATCAAGTTAAAGGCCACTATGTAGTCGTCCTGACAAGCTTTGAATTACTAGATGTCGCTTTTAACTATAGGTTAGTGCACACCTTCGATAATCATAATTTTGATTAAGTCGAAGGAAATATTTCCTCGCATCATTTGATTATTCTAAGGGATTTTTCGTGTGCCCGCATTTCTTATAAGGGGAAGAATTATACACATGGATTTTACACCAATATGCTCTGGTATTCGATTGCACACCCTTAAACCTAATCACAACCTTTATCTTAGTTCTCTAATTCCCACTTTTTAGTTTCAAGCTAGTTTAAAGTACTCATTATGTCATCAAGTAGCAACCAAACGACGATTAGGCCCCCTTTTATGCGTTAGTCCTAAAAAAAGACCAACGTGCTATCCGTTTTCTACTTGATGATTTCATTTTCAAGTTTTATACTTAAAAATGTCAAATCCTTTACCTTACCTAATGTCCACTGTCATAAACCTAATTTCTTTTTCAATTCCTATATTCCTGATTTCTAAGTCCGTTTGCGGAAGCTCATACAAAGAACTTCGAAGTGACAGAGAACTATTTAGGGGCTTATTTACGTTCATATCACAGTTCAGGTGGTTCAGAGTTTTGTAGTCACATAGGTGCATATTTTATTGTACAAACTTTTATCGTAAGCAGAAAGAAACAGTCAAAAACCTAAATAACTTTGTAAACATCGTTAAAAGCCCACATGTACTGTAATTTCATTTCTTCACCAGACTAAAAGAGAACAGCTATTTCCTTTTTGGTGCGTTCTAGGTCTTTGGCAATCGCTCAGACTGCAGAATTCTGTAGTTCTACTGTGAAGAAGAATCCAGATATATTTAGGAGACAGTCAAGAAAACAGTGATATGGATAACTTAAGTGAATACGTTCAAATCACAGAGTAAAAGAAATGAAAAGAAGCAAGAAAAATTACAATTTCATAAGGGTAGCAGAAATAGTAATTGGAGAGTTACGACACCTAATAGGGAGATGGAAGAATGAATTGTGGTAATGGAAGAGAATCGACATAAAGACAGCAGCATGTTGGGTTGATGTGACTCCTTCATTACCTTGGCCTAATCCGCAACCCATGTATCGCTGTGTAATTGTCCAACATTTTCTTGAAGCTTTCGATAAGTGGGGCGTTGGCCACATCAGTAGGAAATGGGTTCCAGTGGCCTTGGACTCGTAGAGAAAATAAGCTTAATTAAACACGAGTTTTCGCTCTTTGATGGCGATTTTTTTTCAATTTCTGTGGGGATCACCGAACCTGTTTCTAGATAATGCTCCTCTGTTTGAGTGACTTGGATTACTTAGTATCATGTCATATGTTAACGTCACGTATCATACTTTAGCTGGCTGACAAAATCAACGTAGAACCTCACATGCAAGTTAGTCGACTCAAGTTTCCACACTTCACAGTAGTACAAAAAGAACAGGTGGATAGGAAAAGGGATATCAAAGAAGATAAAGTGTTGTGAGAGAATATACAGTTTGAAGATAATGGTAAGTGCGAATATTTAGGCTTTAGAAACTGTTAAGGAGTCAATACATCTGCGCCATTGTAGCCAATTTCCATTTGTGTCAACAAGAGTCCTCAACCAATGATCCCTTTCGTCTCACGGACACCAATCAGGTAGTCTGCATCTCACATGACTCAGACTAACAATAAGACTTCATCGATTGGTAACACGTCCTGGTCTGGCCACCCTAAAACTTCTTCCAACATAATCCAACACCCTCTAGCATGGTATGCCAAGGTGGGTGGTGGCTTGGCATGCGTGGTACGTCTAAGCCATCTCAGTCGACTGAGGTTCACAACCTCCTCAATCGACTTGCCTATTACTATTCGCGTGACCTCAACGTTTTTGGCAAAGTGGTTTCACCAAACCCAAACAATGCTACGAAGACATCTGTGATTAAAACTCTATAACCGCTTCATGTCCTCTACTTTCAACGACCAAGTTTCACAGCCGTATTTTAGGACAGAACAGACAGCAGCGAAGTGTACTCGTCGTTTAACAGGTAGTCGGATATCTAGCCGACGCGACAGACGACACAGGTAGGCAAACGCTAAACGGACTTTCTGTATCCGAGTTGAGATTTCATCAGCAACCACCCCATTCGAGCTGAGACAACTCCCCAAGTGAAGTGGTCGACACATTCGAATACTTCACTCTCTGTTATTAAACTTGGAGCATGTGCAACAGACCAGTCCTGTGGCATCATCTTAGATTTTACAAGTGACAGACAAACACATGCCAAACATATTCAGATTTCTGCTCAACACATTCACAAGACCCTGTACATTTTGTCGGCGTCTTCACCCAGCAGGGCAATGTCGTCTGCGTACTCCAAGTCGACCTCCAGGGAGTAGGTCAATCCCTGTGAAGTCAGACGTACCTATGATTATATCCATTAGTACATCTATGACGAAGTCAGACAGGAACGATGAAAGTGGCCATCCCTAGCAAACACCACTAGTTGTCGTCGATTCACACGACAACTCTGCATGAACCCTTACACAGCTACGTGATTTCTAGTAGAGAGCTTTGATTAGCGTTATATACTATGTGGGTACTCCCTTCAAAGTCAGACACTGTCACAACACCTCACGGTGGATAGAGTCCAATGCCGCCTTTAAGTCAAGAAATATGGCAGGTGTCAGCTACTGGCCAGTAGGTATGACTGTGTTTCAGGACCCATAGGAGGGTGAAAATATGACCGATGTACCATCGTCCAGGTGTGAAATCTGCCTCCCTGGCTTTCTGAAGTTTGCTGTTCTAGAGCTCAAGTTAGGGGTGGTATAACTATTGATTTTAGGATCTTGGACACAGTATTAGTTAAACTAGTTCCCCCATGATTGTCACAGTAAAATTTCTCCTTCTTATAGACTGGAATGATCAGTGAAGTAGATCAGTATGCTGGGACTACCTCTGATTCCTATGCACTACCTACTACCCCCGTCGTTCTTAGCGGAAATGTTTTGCCTCCATCTTTGAAAAATTCAGGTGGCAAAATGTCACGTCCTTTTGCTTTGCATCGTTTCAAGTTCAATACAGCCTTCTCAACTTCAAGGAAAGTTGAAGGAGCAATATCTACCTTCCATTCGAGTTCAGGCTGTTGCTATTGGCCCCTGTAACTGTGCTTTAGAGTGTTCTGCGCAACGTTCTAGCCGCTTTTCCTGAGAAGTTATCAACGTCCTATCCTTTTTGGTGATAGTTTCATTAACCGCCGTCTTCTTTTTGCTGGTATGCTTAATATGTTTAGATAGTTGGTGTGTGTTACCCACCGCTGATTTCTTCTATAAGTTTCTCGCCTTCGACACCCACCACTGCTCGTGACAGACGCTAAGACTCTTGGTTAACTTACGTCTGGGTTGCTTTCGCTCTTCATCGTGGTCGGAGCCAGATATAATCACTCTCCTCGCACCAATTATTTCGGATGACGTTGTGGAAAGCCAATGACATTTTCTAACTTCCTGGTGTAGTTTACCGATTGCTTTTACCTTTGTTTCTACAGCAGACTTAATATCACGCCAGGTCTTTTCAGGATGAGCGTTGCCGTCATGTTCAGATAAATGCCTAGCTATCTCTTGCTTAGAAAAGTACTTGTCGTCTTCATCTTCCGTTTGACCATAGGCTTTATTTCCGTCTGTCTGCTGCTGCCAGGAAGGTACAGAAGTACACGAACCCGTACTACTGCGTGATTGGAGTCCAAGTTGGTACTCCACAAAGGGCAGCAGTCCTCCACCAATCCTCTCCGACGATGGCTTATAGTAATGTGTTCTATCTGTATGCATCATTGGTTCAAAGTCACAGGATGCCATGTGACAGTGTCTCTCCTTATCTTAAAAGTTAGTGCTAGCCAGAAATATAATGGTCGGAACGAAATTGCAGACGACAGTCACCGTTGGCGTGGGATTCCGTAAATATCTAGAAGATTGCTTTCCAATTGGCTCACCTTCCCTACTTGAGCGTTAAAGTCACCTGCCATTATGAATATATCTGAACGTTTTGTTTTATGTTCCAAAGTTGGCAGTTTTCCATAGAATTCATCCTTTGCATCATCTGAGATGCAGATGGCGAGTGTGTAGATGGAGATTATGAATATTGATCGCCTAGTCTCACGATCCTTCCTAGTCTTTACATATCCATTCAGTTGAACAGCACACAAACGGCTATTAACTGGGATCCAGTCGAGGAGCGCATTTACCGCCCTATAGCTCAATGCTGTCCCTACACCAGCGAGTCCACGAGAGCTAGCCACTGACTCTTCGGATGCTCTTAAGGTGAATTTTAAAGATTCACCGCAGTATCTAGGTAGTGTCAACTTAATAACCACACTGGGATCCTGTATACGTTTCTCAGAAACAACATACATCCATGGCACAAGATTCTAGAGTTTTGGCGAGCTATTCTTGCTATCGGATTCGACACAGAGTTCGAACGTTAAAAGCGCCCGCATGAAATCGGTGGCTGGATCTTAGGAGACTAGAAATGAGGTTTCGACGACTTTGACTGTTGCTAATGGTTGCAAATTTAGAGGTTGGGTAAGGTATAAGAGGCTTAATATTAGTATCACTAGGCGAAGGCAAAAGAGGAGACAGAGTTGATGGGGAAAGGTTATGTTTGATTTGGTCTTGTGCGCTACTGTGAGTGTGCGGGCGGTTAACACTTCCCGGCTGCCCACATCGTAGGAGGCAATACAGTAACTAAGAATAAAAAGGCCTGGATCCTTTAATCTTTCCTCGTATGATTTTCTGTTATACATTTTTTGGGCGTTAAAAGTCTGTGCATTCTGATGACTTACTTGTTCTTAATGGTATGTTAACATAAGTGCATGTCGCCCTCCTATTCTGAGGTACATTTCTAGTTAAACTGTACGACCAATAGCAATTCCTAATTGCGTAAGTAGCTTCCCCTTGATAATTCTTATATGTACATTTTTAATTATTTTTATTAGAATACTTCACTGTACTATCGTTCTTATGCAAACTTGTTATGCTTTCTGATGAAAACGGAAGACGTCCAGCAGTGCGCTTTCAATTCATGGTATAACACTTTTGAAGCTTATACTCAAGAGAGGTAGATACTTTAGTACTTAACTAATAAATTCCTTTGTAGTGTATTTATTAGTCTTCCAGAAGACCTTATCACTTCATTGACAAATGGAAAATTCATTCTCCCTAAGAGGTAGGTAATTTTTATTCGAATCGAACGTAAAAACCTTATCATGTGTTTATCTTTCTGTCTGCTTAATTATTCATGGACTTATATTTCAGACATAAATAAACTTGAGATCTGGTGTTACGTTTCAAAGTTTTTAGTTTTATTCAACTTTGGGGTTTATGGGGATTTATTTATTGACTTCTGCTCGGTAATCGTCATGGACTGATATCAGTTAAAGGACTACTGAGAACCTTGGAAGACTGAACAGCTGTTTCGCCTTAGTATGGTACTCCTCAGCAGTACACACCCATGACTTCGCCAGGGATCGAACCCAGGACCTTCAGGTTCAACGGCCAGTAAATTACCATGGAGCCACTGAATCGGAATCCAGTGGTCCACATTTCCTACTTTTGTCAGTCCACGATATAGCACAACAACGTTTTTGAGTAACTGTCCTCATGTTTGACTTGGTTGGCCGCACCGGTCACGACTTTTCATTGAAACTTCGGGAGTCCCATCTCGAAGCTAGTCAGCAATGAGCACTGGATTTTTTATAAGATGTATTTAGGTAGGTAGTTCACTTATGTAGAAGATATCTAAGCATTACCATCCCGACGATACTCAGTCTGCTGTAGATAGATACTCGACAGCAGCATGGGACAAAGGTCACACCACATCGTGAACTGACAGAAATAGAAAATATGGACCGTTGGATTTCGACCCATTAGCTCGACAGTAAGGTGCTGGCTGCGGGATCTGAAGGTCTTGGGTCCGATCCCTGGCGGGGTCGCGGATGCTCACCCCTGAAGAGTCCTATACTGGGATGAAACAGCTTTTGGGTGCCCGCAAGTTTCCAATGTTTCTCCAACTGATATTAGTTCATGATCAATACTAACCTGAAATCTATAGTTTTACCCATACATTTTTAGTAATAGCTGTGTATAATGTTGACATCATACCCTCATCCCTGACTACCCACCCTTTCTTCCTGTTGTATTCGTTAGTAGTTTGGTCAGCAGTTACTCCGTAGAACAGAATAACAGCCACCACTATTGTTACTGATAATGATTAAATCAAGCAACCCATCTGTTGGTTTTTTGTATTTTTTCTGTGTTTTGTGAACAATTGCTGTTTCATTGTTTCACATGTCGATTGTGAACTCCGTTTTCACGTAGTCAGGACAAGTTAGAAGTTTACGTGAAGCAATTCTGAACGGACTTATTGAATAAAAAGAATGGTAGTTTTGAAATTGTCTCCGAAACTGTATTTATCTCATAAAGTTGTACATAAACAGGAAAAAATGCGTTTTTACTGTTGGGCATTTGAAAAAAGGTATTGTACAATATCAAAGTCGCCTATGCAAACGTTCTCTAACATTTCAGCCATATTAGCCATCTTACGTGACTGGTGTGTCTCACTGAGCAAATACAAGTGTAAAAGGGCTGATTGAATCAGTAAAATCCAATGTATCACAGAGATTATGATTCAACGAACTCTTCTTTGCTGGTCCAATCATTTGCACCAACCATTTTCCGATAAAACTATGTGAAGAATTTATTCTAGATAGAGTAGAAAATATTCTTTGCATATTTTTGAAATATCAAATAAACGGAGGGTCGTAGAACCCAATAAGAATGTCATTTTGACAGATAAAAGAATGATTTCGTTGGATATCGTCTCCCCATTTGATTCTTATGTGAATTCATTCAATCCGATAATCATAGATTTTGTCATTCCAAATCACTACTTAAAAGGTTTCTTCTTCAACGCACTTTTAATGTATTCTTCAAATTTACTAGTAAAATTTACAGGGAGATAGATGGCTTGGCAATATATTTACCACTAGGACCCCTCTTTTAGGTGGTTACTTTGTGGCAAACCTAGAAAACCTTAACTTATCAACAAAAATCAATGAACTTCATATCCTCAAAAGATACACTTATGATACCTTCATAGTTTGTGATGAAAATATGAATTTTACAAATTCGCTTCATGCTTTCAACAATGTCCACCCCTCAACCAACTTCAATCTAGAATCGAAATCAAACTAAACGTTACATTTTTTTTGATGCTCAAAGAAAAAGGATGATAATTCACTTCGTAGATCTATTTACAGAAAGCCTACGTGGAACAGACAGCTTGTTAATTTTAATAGTTTGATCCTTCTAAGTAGGAAAAGAAATATTATTCATTCACTTTCCTCAAGGATCGGGTGAGTATGTACACAGGATACTGTTGATGGAGAACTGCGAAATCTTCGAAGAACTCTAGTAAAAAATGGTTTTGTGCTTAGATTCATAAATAAGAACTTAAAGCCACAGAAAACAACTAAACAAATATATGTACCGTCGATAAATGATTGTTTCGCTGTATCTTGAATTCAAAAATGACATTGCTACATAAATTCTGAAGAAACAGCTATCGATATCGTCAAACAAAACATACTTCACCGCCAACCTTTGAGTCATCCCTTCCAAGAAACATTTTGGCCAATATGTGTATACCAGTTTGTTGAATACATTGACGTTACCATGTACCTGATTGTAAAACGTACTCGAGAACACTATCCAGTCAGGTTAGCAAAGGGAGAATGGAAATATGTCGTTAGCTCATCATTAGGATACTTTGTTAATTCAGATCACTCAGTTCCTTTAGAGAACTCTTTCCAAACCCTCTATGGGTTTCGATCAAGCCACGTAAAGGGAATGAGATCAGGGCATTTGGATACAGCTGAAGCACTAGGCATCCAGATGTTCAAACCAGCACTGTGAAAAGAAGTATGTTCAGCCTTTAGATTTGTCGTGGCTTTCATAAAGCCTTGATTGTCCTAGATAAATCCTGTATTGCCCATTCGTATTTATTTTCTTAGTTCCTTGTTCATTTTCCTACTCTAAACCCTTATTCGTATGCAGTAACTTCTCTTTATTATTCAGAATATTTGACCCCTGACTAAACACACTTCTGGAATGTTCTACCCTTTTTTCATGGGTGTTCGGTTTAGTAAATGACTTCTTCCAAAAGAAAGATTTCCCGTTGCAACTGTCTTTTCTGTCTTTTCCTATAATGAAATTAATAAGCATTTAAAATATCTTAACATTAGAAAAGTAATAATCTACGACATCACTGGGTGTGTCTTTAGTTTTGTAAGCTTCGTTTCCACGTGCAGCCATTCACCCTTTGGCGTCGGCCTTTTTGGGTCTTGTTTGTTCTGATCAACAGCCACATATTCAGAGTCCGTAGTTCAGCTATCCACAAACTAATAAGTTTTAACTTTTCCCTCGTGAAATAACCTTTTTACCTCAGACTAATAAATAAACTAGTCTTCTGAGTGCTTCTTACTTTATAACGTGTTTTATTGTTTATGCTTCACTATCGGTACTCAGACGTAGGCAAGGTACTGGCTTGCTGGTATTGGTGCACATTAAGACCAGTCACGTCTTAGGTAATCTCAACAGATGCATGCTTTCGTTGGTGAAATGTAGTTTCTTTTGAATGCCTTACCATCTTGGCCTTCCAGTTTGATGCATGTTTCATTCCCTGTGATTTTATTTTAGCTATATATCTAAATTCTTGAACTTGTTGTTTTTTACTTCTACGAATTTATATTCAGTGACAAGCAAGCGGATAGGCGTCTGTCGGACTCGAGTGATGTAAGTAATTAAAAATATTTCATAACTCAATACATGACGTTATGCTGCAACTTGTGTGCTCATATATGAATTTAAGTCTGTCAGTTACAGTCTTGAATCCTCCCTTAACTATGGAACATTGTGTATTTAGATGGTATCAGTCAGTTAGTGCACAAACTTGTGCTAAGCTGTGCTGTTTCCATTACTTTTCCTTTATTGTCTAGATTTAATCATGTGAATTGGATTTCGATCTACAAATTAGTGGTTGGAAACAAATTTGCTGTACAAGTGATGTTATACATCTTTAGTATAAAACTATATTTGTTGGTCGATCTATTTCCGGCGTCTGGGTGGATTTCTGACAATGAATCCCTCTAGAAAAATCGAGTCATATTAGTCAAATTTTATGAAAGTCGAAAAAGGGAAAGGTGAATTGAATACGGATACTTTGTCTTGAGATTTGGTGCCAAATATACACTATTTTCAATCGATGAAGTCCTCGACTGTTCGTTTGAGCCATATAGGGTTGGGGTCCGCAAGACAAGAGAAACCAGTGGTTGGAGGCTAAGTGGTATGGCCCAGAACCGATGCCAGTGGCGCAGATGTACACACATATTATCTCCACCTTAACCCCCATACTTAATCTCATCATGTTCTCATTCCTCCTTCCTCTATTTTACTACTCTCTACTTATTTTGGCCGATTTCTTCTCTTTCTTCCATTTTGTTGCCTTGTTACTATATGTGAGATGTGGCAACTTAGACCGTTACGCAGTAATGTCTGGTCCTATTTCGATCTTGATGATGGTGATTTTCACTTTTGATCTGGTTAAGAATTCAAGATTTCTACATAGTTTACTGATTAGTAACTATTCGAGTGTGTGTAGTATTAGAATCTTACAGCTAAAAGTTTTTGCCTATAGATCTCTGTGGGCTACTGGGGATTAGGAATCTTCGTTGAACAGAGACCGGGTGTACTGTAGTTGCCATAGCAAAACCACCTTCATTCCTATGTTCATATACTTATTTAGAAACACTTGTTCATGTTTGTTGTACTGAATTTTCACTTCTTCTTTCTGATAATTTACCACAAAAGCTTCATGGGCAACCTTCATCATCCCCGTTCAAAACGTTTTCCCACAATGTATTCTGAATTCAACTAGGAGTTAAATTTATTTATCAAATTAAATTCTTTCTATTAAAATAAAGAAATTCGTAAGGTCTACATCTCTGCGAACAGTTTTTAAATTGCCAACTTTAATTATCTACAAAAGATGTATACAGTTTCTCTGTAGTTTGGTCTTTCCCAACAAATCTACATGAAACCTTGATCTACATTAACTGTCATTTGTTGATGGATAGAATTTCACGAACAACATGTGAATTCAAAGTCGTATTCTCATAGGAAAATGATTTTAGGAAAAGCTGCTGATATTTTAGTACGACATAAGTATAGTCAAAATAGGTTTTGTGCACCCAATCTGAGGAGAATGACATTTTGTATATCTTTCAAGGGATATATGCTCACTTGTGGTCTATTTGGTGGCTAGCAGTGGAATCTAGAACTCCCATTTTCTCCTATTTTGGACTCGTCACTTCTATGTACCTGCACCGCAGCAAATGATATTGTTCTCATTGTGACTCGAACCCAGTACTCATCGCTTTAAATGCCATAGCGTTATCCTCTATTTGCTAACTTTCTATACTACTGAAATGCATATGGGCCTCAGCTAACTATATATCAATCTCATAGTCCCTGTATGTGGACAATTTGTAACGGTTGTTTAGACAATTGAACTAGTAGTTCATTGAAAAGCTTCTTTCTAGTGATTTCATTCTCAGAGCTGTACGATCGCAAATTTATATATTTTTTCTCATGTCACGACTCGATAGTTAAAAGTATTTTTTCAGACATGGGAACAAAAGTAGTAGGAGAAGAAGAAGAAACGCATTCACCTACCTTGTGCAGATTCGTGGAGTAGGTAAAGAGCCCCACCTATTGTATGAGAGCTAGTAATCCTACCTGCCTGTGCACTCTGGCATATGGAGTGGGGCTCGAACCCGTGACCCATTGATTGTAATCTCCCTAAACCACTGCGCCACAGCTATACCATCAGAAGTAGTGTCATTGCATAAACTGTCATTACAATCGAAAATTGTAATGAATGGTGAAGACTGATATGAATATAACTGGAATTGTATAAGGAATACTAAGTTTGGATGAGAAGTTCAGTAACATAAAATATTTAGTAACTGAAGTTTGATCAGAAAGAGTATGGAAACAAGAATGAAAATTAAGACCATAAAAGGAGAAGGAGTTGAACAATCTTCTTTTGAGTGTAAAGTCCAGTTTTCTGCATATAGATGGCAAGAGTTTCGGCGATGCAGAGGATACAGAGACATACAGCCTTTGGGAAGTTTTCTTTCACTTAATAAACGACTTTGAATGAGGAGGTTTTAGAGATACGGTGACCTATGTTCAATTATAGCACTTCTTATCGATCCATTGTAACCTTGGGAGCACTATCCCATGTGGTTACAAGGAGGTCACCTAACCATGTATCAGCCGTATAGACCTTGGATACAGATGAGTTGTAACGGTTGTTTAGAGAATTATCCATCTTCAGCTGTCGGTCTATGGGAAACTCCAGAGAGTGGTGAATTAACAGGAAAAAGGTTTTAAATGATAGTGCCGGTTATTATGATTAAATATTAGGAAGAAGGAATCAAAGATATACACTATTTAAGCGTCTGGAATTGAAGTAGACCACCTACAGTTCTCTGTCTTTTGAATGATGTCATTTCTCAATTAAAAACTGTCTCATGTTATTTAGATGGAGGCAATCGGCATGATGCCGTGGATCTAGGTTCCATGTTTTTTGACACTTGTTGGCAAGGTGTATCTGCAACCTCGACGGAACTGATGTCCCGCGTGAGACTCGAACCCGCGCCATTCAGTGCTGCAGTCGGAGACGTTCTCACTAAGCTATTCGGGTCGCGATTGGTCCCCTGTAGGACTGGATTGTGTACATTGATTAATGGCTGAAGAGTAACCAACTTCATGAGTCTCCTGGCTTGGTAACCATACTGCAAAATGATCGATAGAATTCAATCAAAACTTTAGACAACATGAAGTCGATTAATCTGTTTTAACCAATCACTGTAAAAACTGTCTTTACAAGACAATCAAGTCCTCACAATAAACTTGTTGAAGGGTACTTTAAGCAGTGGTATAACTTAACAAGATATATGAGTGAACGACTTTTTTTCCATTGTATCTCAGAATTTGCTTTAGTATAATTTACTTTCAACGTAAATATAAAATATGAATCTATCAAGGGAATTTGTCAGTCAACGATGACAAAAGCGTGAATTGTACAGTCTAATAAATATAGTGGTACGTTCAGTGGTAATATGAGTACTAAGAATGGCATGATGATTTAAGTAGGTATTCAGGGAAATAAAGATGACAGCTTTGCAAAGGACAATAAGGTTATGTAATGCTGAAGGACGAAGTCAAAAGATAAAGTTTAAATGTGAACATAGTAAAGGTATGAAAGAGGTTATAGAAAAATACAAATAAATATTTTGTTAGAAATTATCAGTTCCTAAAGTAGTTTTTTTTATTATTATAATTCCAGGAGGATTGGTCCGATGATTCTGATGAAGACATCAACGTTGCTGACAAAGAGGTAATTAGTAGTTAAACAATATCTGAAGGAAAAAAATGTTTAATTCAGAGACCAGAATTTTCTCAGTTCGAACATCAGGTGAAAAATATAATTCGGAGGCTAGGTGGTGTCGTATTCCCCAAGTTAAATTGGAGTGCTCCAAATGTAGGTGGGCTACCATCCTATTTGTTTTGTTACCGATTATCTTCCTTTCCAGGATGCGTCTTGGATGTCATGTGACAATTCACTAAGATGTAAAACATTTTCAGATATCTATTTACTCCTCAAATCATCGGATTTTGCGGCACACGATCTAACTGCTCCGTAATTTGTATATCTTTAGAAAGCTAATCCCATTGAATCTGTGTTTAGTTTCGCCTTGTGTGCAGATACATCAATTGAGCAAACTTGTTGCCTTTTCAATTCCAAACCAATCCTTGTTCTACGTAGATGGTATGATTTCCGTCCAGAGGGGGAATTCCGGTGCTTCGTTAAATCTAAAGTTCTTATTGGTAAGCTAGTTACTTAAAGTTTAGATGTTAGGTTGTGTACATATAATATTGTCTTTTAAACAATATCAAAAGTTACTCACCAAGTATATAGTTGCATAGTTTGTAAATCTCTAACTGACAGCTGATAGCTGATAGTTGTCTACCGCTCATTCTAAAAGAAACCAATGCAGTTTAATAACATCGCACAAGTTTTTGTTCTGAAATATTGGTCGTATCTGTTGTATAGTCAGAGAATGCTTTATTCATCATACCGCCTGCAACTTCCTAGACTGTCCCTAAAACTGTGGCTCATTGACTTAAGTGCTTGACTTTCAAGTAGTCAGTCCTGGATTGAAATCCAGCTCCACGTACTTTGATCTGGGTAAACAGGTAGTATTATAAGCCCAGGCATAACAAGTGTGACTGGTAACCTAGTACATGATCATATGTTGAAAAACGTTAGGTGACCAAATATAACCTAAAGGATGCTTTTGAATTTATTTCAAGAGCCTAAGTAATAAACAAATAATTGTATTTGTGGTTCACTGCTTACTAACAAAATAGAGATAGGTGTATCACTTGAAATCCTATGGTGAATGTACAATTTCAGTTTAACAAAGAAATCTACCATGAGATAGATATGGCGATGGATTCACCACTAGGTCCTCTTTAGACAACATGTTTATGGCAAAATTGGAAAGTAGACCACTATGTAGCACGATAGATAAGTTCTCTTACTATTGCAGATACATGGATGACACTCTCATTCTGTACAAAAATGTTACGAATCCTAACATCCTTCGTGATGCATTCAACAGTAATCACTCAGAAATCGAGTTCACCTGTGAAACAGAGAAAGATAGATGTCTACTATTTCTGGATAGTTTACCATGGAGACGAACAAAGGACAGTATCAGATGCAGTGTATTCAGTAAGAAGTTATAGGCCAGTCAGTACACATATTTCTGATCACTTGCCCGTCTTACATAAGAAAGGAATTTAATCCATGTACCGATGTTTCAAGTCAATACTATCTGGACAACTGACACATTGGACGATGAAATAAGAATTAGAACTCCTTATACGAGAATGGCTATCCTAAAAAGTTCATAAGAACTGTTACAATAAATACAGCTGGAGAAAAGTGCCTTCAGATTTCACCAAAGAAACGATTACATCTAACTTCAGCGTTCAAAGGAGATGCAGCTTTAGAAACGCTGGTATTATAAATCACAAATCCGATATGGAAGAAACCTTCCTTGCCACCACACTGTTTGGAATCTCATACTCACTACATGATGCCAATGCAGTTGAAGGATAGACTAATGAGTCTGGCCATATCTATGTGAATTTTTACATTCAGCTGCTCTTGTGGAGATACTTACATAGGTAAAACCACCCGGCAAGCCCATCATCGCTTCACTGAATCTATCAAATGTTCAATACTCGCCCATCTGGTAGATATTAGGCATAAAATTGACAAAACCTTAGCATTTACCATTCTTTACAAGGTTGCATCACAATACTCTTAGTGTATGCGTCTCTGATTACCTAGCAGAAGGTATGACAATTAAAGTTTTAAAACCTAATTAACATGTATAGAAGATGTTCATTCGTTACATTTCCCTCCTATGGTCTTCAACTTCAACCCGGATAGAATTATAATAACATCCTTCTCGGTTATCCAAATAAATGTGAATATGATCTCTTTTTGTATTCTTATCCCTATCGTTACGCTTCATCTTAATTTCAATTTTATAATTTGACCTTAGTTTCATAACTGATTAGGAATTCTAGCATTATATTATGTAATTCCTATTCGACAAGAATTTCACTTGCATGATGCAATACGAAGACGGTGGTTATCTGAGAAATGTGGTTTATTTGCGCAATACACTTTGAGAAGTTGAATCACACATTTACTTTTCCGTGTATTTTATATGAAAGGTGAAAAAAATAGGGTAGAGTAAGGTAAATAAATTAAAATAAGAGTTACAACCCAAGATAATAAAAGATTTGTAAAGTGTAGTGATAATAAAGAGGAATAATACATTTTCACACCGTTTTTGGCATTAAAATGAAATAATGCTTACCAAGGTAGGCTTAAGGTAAGGAGAAATCGTTTTTGATTGCACAAAGGAGGTTTCAACTTTCGCATAGTTAAGGCTTCAATGAACCTAAGTATATGGTCTTGACGGCTGTTTGAAGTTAATCCTGTGACCTGTTTCTATAATGTTTTTATCTATAGATGATAGCGTCCACCTGCTACCTGTATTTATAGGATTGTTTGAATGTAATTGTTTTTCTAGCCATTTGAGGATATTCTCCACCACTCTCAACTTCATAGTTTGATTACTCCCAATGTGTATGTCACTGCATACACATGTAAATTGGTATTCATAGCGGGATGTGACGTATTCACCTGTGTAGTGATAGGGTTTGTTTTGAAGCATGGGTCTCATTTTCTCTATGATATTGAGCTTGGCTGCTCTGTACGTCATTTTAGTAGCTGAAGTAAATCTTCGTCTTAGGATCATGCTGTTTGATTCCCTCTTTGTACGGTACCGTGATGTAAACGTTATTCCTCGGGACACAATACTGATTAGTTTAGACCGTTGAGACATTTTTATAACAACTGATAAACTTCAGTGGATATGCGTTTCTCATCAATGGCTCTGTCAAGAATTTGATCTCTTCCTTCAATGTATGTTGTGTAGATACGTTGGGTCATTTTGAATAGGCATTTTATTAAACCCCGCTTGTACTGTATTGGACAGGAGCTGTGAAAGTTAAGGTACTTACTGCCCGGTCCACGTTGGTTTTCTGTTCACTGTTATTTTCACCTACCCATTGTCCCTTCTAGTTAATAATAATACGTCAAGAAAAGGCAGCTGATTATTATTTTCTACTTCACACAATAAACAAACGTGGTTTTGTATAGTGTCAAGTCTATCTAGAAGACTTTTCGCATCCTCGTGTTTGTTACGACACATAACGAAGATATCACCAAAGTATGACCTGTACAGAGGGACTTTGTTGATTAAATCCTCAGCCAAAAGTTTTACATGTGACATATAAACATAAGCTAACAGTGGTCCTAAAGGACTATCCATAGCTACACCATCAACTTGTCGAAAATTTTCACGTTCGAAAGTGAAGCGATTTTTATCGGTGCATAGTAGTAGTAATAGCTCTTTCAAATATTTTGAAGGGATGGGGAATGAAGGAATATTCAAAGGTGTATAATCACAAAAAATATCAACAGTCCTGGTTAAAGACACATTGGTGAATAAAGAGTTTACATCAAAAGAAAATATTATGTTTAACATTAATGTCGCTTATATAGTCAATAAATTAAAAAGTATCACTTAATGCAAGCTTACATAATTGATTTCTAACTGTAGTCAGCATTTGTGCTAGACATTTAGCCAATTTATGCGTCAGGGAGCGACACATTGATAGTATTGGACGCAATGTAATATTGATGTGTACCCCTCCCCCTCCCACCCATATTGCCTACTGGAAATCATACGAGTTTTACAAGATTTTGTTTTTGTCATTATCGCCTTTACTGTTACCCTCTAATTCATATCCCATATTGGCATCAAATGACTATGCTGAATAATTCGTGAGTGTATCTGTAAAGCCTGACGAGAATTTATCGAAATATACGTATTCACTTGAAACTTCTTTTACAAGAGGTTAGGCAGTCAGTGTATAGAGCGACTAACAGATTTACAAAGCCTTTTGTTGAAATTAATATAGTATATTTAATTTACAAGTAGTATTCATCATGGACTGACATCAGTTGGGGAACCATTGAAAATCTGGGAGCACTGAACAGCTGTTTCGTCCTAGTATGGGACTCCTCAGCAGTACGCACCCACCACCCGGCTAGAGATCGAACTCAGGACCTTCAGGTTTCACAATGAACGCGTCAGTCTATGATGAATACTACTTCTAAATTTAGAAAAAATTCCCATTCATCTCAAAAATACATTATAGTATATTTAATCTAGAGGAGCAGAAATATGGTGTTAATTCATGAATGTTAAATAAATAAAGAAATAAATAAACTGCAACAGTGAGTTTCTGACTGAAATATATGACATGCACGTTTGTAAAGGGCGGTAGGAGAATGAAATTTACTTCTTCTCTGCTTATAGGTTTCAGTATTTTACTAGCAATTGATCCTGGACTTTGCAAAAATGGATTCTTACGTCGTATGATAACTTCTTAGTTATTTTGTAAATATCTGAGGTGAATTCTTGTCCACTATTTGATCAATTAGGTATGATTTATACGGATATATGCTTCTTTGCATGTTGTGTTAGACACCTCATCATAGAGCAGCACCATGCGAAAATTCCTCCACTAAATGAGTTGAATTTATAAATGTAGATCAACGTCGATGGACGTCTTTCAATCCTAGTGGTACAACACCTCTAGGTAATCTCAGAGTCGCTGTTGGAGTCGTCTATCTCAAATATCACTGTTAACAAGGATTTCGGCGAGATTAGCTTCCTGCAACTTAAGATTTAGAAACAGTTTCTTCACCTTACAGATAGAAATTATTTGATTTGTTTTTAGTGATATATTTTGTTTCTTTTTGTTTTTTGATTTGGTGTCTGTTGTTACCATGTCGAATTTTTTTATATATCAATTTCAGTCTATGTAATTATTTATTTACTCGCTGTGCAATCCTAAGGGGAGCTGGGTTAGGTTAGAAGACGGTTCAGAGTAGCCATACCAAGACGTGGCACTAGTTGATGAAATCTCTGACTACTGATGTGAGATGTGTCGGGAGGATATGTAGATTACCTTGCTGGGGTCTCTGAGACAATAGAAATCAGTGGTTGAAGACATAGCTGAAAATCGGTCACAGGGGCGCAGATGTATTTACGCTTTGATGTCTTCTGAGGCTTGAATAATTGTACTGATCTTTATCATCAAACCGTTTATTCTCTGAATACTTTGATGTCAATCTTTTCCTATTCATTTGTTGTTTTCATGCTGTTATGAAGTGTGGCAAGTTGAATCGAAGCACTTGTTTGCAAGGTTCTACGTTGATTGTATCTGTCTGTTGCTATTTACCTAAAATTCACAAATTATCATCACCTTTTTGCCTACCCAAGTAAACATTCTGTTTTAAGTTTAAACAAGGGTTTTATAAATTTGTTAATCGCTTTATACATTGATTGCCTAAACTCTTGTACAATAAGGTGTTAGGTAATTTTCAATTGGAAAAAATTAGTCAGCTATACACCTACATTTTTCACCACTTGATAGGTGTATACTTTTTCATGTTTAAACATAGTGGTATTTAAAGTTTAGGCTCAGATTTCCCACGTTCCCAATGATATAATTGGGATATTCCGTTAACAGTCATACTCTCATAAAACGGCTATTGACTATCGTTATTAGAGGAGTTTCGATCACACACAGAGAGAAAGTTACAGTGAATTTGAGTTGAATTTGGAGTTTAGATCACTTAAATTGCATAAATGAATATAGTAGCAATGTAAAAGTATGAATACGGTTACATTCTGCTTCAGTTGATGTTCATAGCATCTCATTTTGTTTGTTTTCTTGCTTTTTTTTTAGCTATATGTCAACGGAAACATGATGCGTACTTTAAATCAATCGAAGGACAGTTAGAGAATATCAAAGTTGACCTGATAAAATTCTTTAACCGAAAAATTAAAGATCAATTCAAATTGGAGAACTGTAAGCTATAGTTCTAATTATCATTATCACTAATCTACTGTTACTAGATACAGTTGATTTATACAGGGAACCATCAGTAGGTTATTATCTTTGTTGATTGTTATTTTATTCTATTTTTCATTGTGCATAGAAAGATGATAGAGCGCGAATTCAAATAATTGATTTTAATGTATTCGGTCCACCAACAGATGCACTATTATACCAGTGGTCAGAATTGGAAAATGTTATAGCTGATGAGAACGTAAGTTGTTTTTGGGTATGATTTAGTGTTTAGCCTCTACTGGTTGATTGTAATTCTGCAGTTTAGGTATAAAGCACGTAGTATAGTAAGGTACGGTTTCAGGTAGATAAACTTCAGTGAATTCAGTCTATGTGGTTTTGAAGAAACATGTGCTGTTCATAGTTTATGTCTTGGGTCACCATTTAACACTTGCTTTTTGTCTTTCTTCATGGAACTGTTGTAGTAAAAATAGATGACCGACGTTTGAATATATATCATTTCCGGTGTTATGATGGTTAAAGAAGTTACAGTTCTACAGGAATCTGCACAGCAAGTATTTTTCAACGGATGCATAACCTTCATTTGTTCTATTTTCCCCTTATTATTTGTCCCTTGAGTTCCTAGTGGAACATAGGGCTTCAGTAGCGCGTCTCTAGTGCACTCTGTTCTCTGCAATCTTTTGAACCTGGCTCCACGACTGCGCAGAAGCTCTCATTTCTTCCTCACACGATCTCTTTCATGTTACCCTCGGACGCCCAACTCATCGTTTCCCATCTGGGTTCCACTCGAATGCCTGACCTGGTACGTGATGTCCCCGAACGGTCTTCTCAGTGCATGCCCAATCCATCCCCACTTCTTTCTGCATATTTGTTCAACGATCGGTTCTTGGTTGTTTTGTCGATAGCCAGAGTTCCTTGTTGCTTATGCTTTCTGGCCAGCTGAGCTTCAGTAACGAGCCAACTTAGGCAGTTGTTGATGAATGTCTGCAGTTTGTTTGAAATGCTTTTCGTAACGCGCCAAGTCTCTGAACCATATATAAGCACTGGCTTGACATTGGTGTTGGAAATTCAGATCTTGTTGTTTATGCTGAGTGCAGTTCAGCAGATCTCCACACTGATTTCAGATTAACTAAAGCCTGTGTTGCTTTTCCGATCCTGGCTGGCTTTGACGTCCTTGTCTGTCCCGCCTGTAGTTGAAACGGTGCTGCCTAGATAGGTGAAAGAGGCTATTTGCTTTAAGTTTCTCCCGTTGATGGTGATTGGAGCTTGTTGTTTTTGTTGGTGTTGTTGGATGAGTATCTTCATAACCTTTGTCTTCTTTACGTTCATTTGAAGTCCCGTCTTCGCTGCCTCACCTCTTCTGTCAACTTGTTGGATTTTGCCTGTAGGTCTTCAAGTTTGTGTGAAACTAGACACAAGTCATCGGCGAAATCCAAATCTTCTAGTATCTTTTCACCGGTCCAGCGTATCCCCCTCTTCTCGCTCCTCACGGTTTGCTGCATGATCCAGTCCACCACAATCAGGAATATCATGGGTGATAGTAGACAACCTTGTCTTACTCCTGTCTTCACTTCAAAGGCATCACTGAGCTTCCCGATTGTGAATTACTTGACATGTGGCGTCTTCAAATAGTTGTTGAATGAGGTTGATAAAAGTTTGTGATATTCCATAGTGTTGGAGCAGTTGCAAATTACTTCTCGGTCGACGCTGTCAAAGGCCTTCTCAAAGTCGATGAATTTAAGGTAGAGAGTTGACTGCCATTCTGTACTCTGTTCTATGATGATGCGTAGTGTTGCGTTGCAATTTGGTCTGCACATGACCTGTACTTCCTGAATCTAGCGCATCCTTTAGTCTCTCCAGGATAATGGGGGTTGATATTTTGCTTGGGATGGACAGGAGTATGATTCCTCGCCAGTTCTTGCAAAGACTTAGGTCGCCCTTCTTCCACCCGGCAGGTACCCTTCCTTCCTTCTAGACCTTCTGCAGTAGTGGTGTGAGCATATATATATATATATATATATATATATATATATATATATATATATATATATATATATATATATACGAGTTAAAATGTGGTCTTTCCCTTTATAATGGCTGTTGTTTGCACTAACTTCATGGTTCTACATGTATGTTGTGATAATCATAAGCAAACGTTATTCCCTTAGCAGTAATTCACAGTGGTAGTAGTTTACCTCTCTAAACTAAGTACTTCAACATACTACAATCATGTATCATGTATTATTAGTAAGCACTTGATTAGCTATCACAGTTTATTGAACAGCAGTAAACTATTTTTATTGAGATTCTTATACTGATTTATACATCGTTATTATCATATAATGTCACAGCGCAGAATAGGGTTTCGGATACCGGATATTATTACAGCGATTCTTGATAAGTGGTGGTCATGAGGTTGTGAAAAGGTACTCAACTTTCGTTAAATTTCGACAAGTAAACCGTTGCACATCACATTGTGTAACTAGTTACATTTTTGGGCATAAACCACCAATCTGTTTTAGTATGAAATCATTAATATTGTCGTACGAATGTAAACATAGTTGTTAGTCATCATAGCATAATAGGAAGCGACGTAAATCGAAATCAACATTCTAAGACGTCAGTCGCTAAGGTAGAAGTTTTGGATTTCAACCTTGTTTCATATTACTGTACCGGTAGGAAAAGCTTTACTAGACAATTTTGTCCTTCAGCTGATTTATGAAAATAAATATCTAACTTTTGACTTACTGGCTTTTTCTCAGGAAAAACTGTGTAAATGTTGTTTTTTGTTAAATAAGGTTGTACTGCTTACAGTCACAGGTCGGTGTTTGTCTTCTGATTTTCGCGGCTCAGTTAAGTATCAGGTCTAAGGGAGAACAGTCGCCATTCGTATCCAGACCGAGTATCTCATTGCGTTAATAGTATTCTCGTATTTTGTATTATTCTGTCCGTCACTTTGCAGCATTTTAATATGCGATAAATGAATTTTTCCAAAAGTGATAAATTGGACCACTCGTCGAAAGCGAACTCAGCATCTTGTTTAGAATGAGCCGGAAAAAACAGATATTTTATGAGAACACAAAAATAGTTTTTTTTTAAACACAGATGTATCAGGGGCACCAAAAGGTCTTGAAATAATCCGCACATACACAACTCAAAAACCACCTGGATTATCGTGCACTAGGCAGTAAACTACATATGTTGTGTGGGGCTATCGTAACCTCGGTAGATTAGATGGAGTTCAAACCCTTGATCCCTATTTGAAGGTCGGTTGTCCATACCAGTTAACAACCGCTTTGGTATATTTCCGTGGTCATTATGATGCCTTCTTCGTTCTATGTGATAAGGGAAACAAGTATCTCCTAACTAGTGAACCATATCCTTGCTATACACTTAAAGTACTGTTCACAGATATCAATTGTCTAAAGATACTTCCCTGCAGACACTATCTGTTATTTATAATTTACAGCTATCCTGACTGCTTACTCGATAGGGTATTATATGCACGGACATAACACCGAACTTATGTTCAAATTAATCTTAATATTGTATTACCAAAAACAAGAGACCGAAGTTAATTGTCATTTTAATGAAAGTTTGACAGTATATTAGCAGAAATATAACTTTAAATTTAACATTGATAACTTCCTGAATTATTCTGTTTTCACTTGTCTCTTGTCAATAGGAAAGCAGTCCTTTATTTCGTTACCAAAGTGATCAGAATATTCATCCGAATTCAATGAACCAATATGGTTTGCCAATTGATCTAATCGATATTGCCTCAGGATCTGATCCCCAAAAGCTAATGGATTTTATCCAGGCTGTGAGTTTTCAAATAATTTAGTTTTGTGGTAGCTTTAATCACTGATTAGTCAAAAGCTACAGAATCACTGAGAATTATACGCAGTGCATACTCATGATGCTATACGGAGTAAAATGGTTGAACCGTTAAATTTTACAGCGAACAAGTTACTATTCAACCACTGCCTCGGAATATAATGGTTCATATTCTCCGATTTTTTTATTAGATTCATTAACTCATTCATTTTATAGAAATATACTTAACAATATAATGCAGCAACAACAATTGGTTATTAATTCACACTTGTAATTCTCCCTTTCTATACTCAGTTGAGTTGCTCGACCTCTGTTGGCAGATGGGTTCTCATGTGGATACGTCGATACTACCCGAATATTCACTATATTGTAGTCTAGTTGGTGGTTAGCAGTGGAATCCAGAACGTGGATTTCCTTTTATTTTACACTCGTCAGCTGGATGTACCTGCACCGCAGTGTGTGACGTTGTTCTCACCGAGACTCGAACCCAGTACCCATCGCTTCAGATGCCAAACCATTGTTGACTACGGCACCAAGTAGACTGCAATATAATGAATATTCGGACAGTATCGAGGCATTCGCCTAGGAGGCCGTCTGCTAACAGAAGTTGAGTGATTCGACTCAGTAATGGCAACAGGAGATTTCAAGTATTAATCAACAACTGATACCCGCTGCACAATAATTGGCTCTCGTGTCCCATTGAATAACGCTTTGATGTATGAAGCGATGGATGCTAGGTTCGAGTCCCAGTGAGAACAGCATCATGCACTGGGGTGCAGGTATATTCGGCTGACAAATCTCAAGTTGAACGAAACGCGTTCTGGATTCTACTGCTAACCACCAAGCAGACTGCAATAATGTTGTTTATGTAGAATGCATTAAATCATGTTGACATGCGTAAATCTTATATGTGTAAGAATATCATAAAAAAGACAAAACATCTTACGACGTTAATCCTTTAGCGCAAACACTAATTATTCATGCTTTAGTTTGTGGGTTCTTACCTCAGATATGCGCTATTGTTTAGCAATCTTTCACCTCAGAGTAGATGTTATACACCACTGTTTTTGTAACATTTGTTTCATTTTTCTCTTTTATCGCATATTTCTTCACTATGAGGAACTTCCAGAAGTCAAACAGATACACTTTTGTGTGATGTTTGTAGTATTTAATATCTTCCTATGCATGACGACATGAGATGGGCCACAAAGTAACATGAGAGCATTTAAAATGCACAACAGTGGTGTGTATATAAGCAAGAAGAAACATAAAGGGATTATCAAGGAAGTTTCCAATACCTTCAGTCTACTGACTTCCATCCTGGACTACATTTCATTGCGCATAAAGCAACTGTGTTGTTTTACCTATTGAAATCCAATCCAGAGGTCTTCATGCACCACCAGTCGCTAACCCTACACAACCATCCTTCATTCTGCGTCGCCATATCGTAAAAGAACTACCTCCGCTTCTTCCAAGTGGTCCCAGAATTGGCTAACAATGAACGGTATAGAAGCTGCGGGAACGTTATCCATGATAAATGCCTAAGTCATGGAAACCTATGTTTTTCATAATTTCAATCAGTGAATAAAGATCGCTATCACACTGAGACATATCCCACCAGAACTCTGGATTACTCACATTATTCTTATATAACTTACGAGCAACTGTATGGAGTAAAGGTTTGACTTGGTAACCTAATTGCTTGACTTTAAACCATCAGGTTCCAAGTCCAAAACCTTTCCAACGTACTTCGACTTGGGCTACCGGATAGTATAATAAGCCCTCACACAGTAAGTGTAGCTGGTAGCCTAGTAAATAAAACCTGTATCGGGTTGAGTTGCATAATATCTCAAACCCTATCGAGAAAATGATGATTGAACGCGTAAATTTTCCGGAAGTATCAACTTCTGGGCCAGTGTTTCACAGATATAGCACAGAACCGTTCGTAGTGAAGCGGTGTACATCCAATTTATCAGTCAGGCTAACGTCATGGTACCAGGGCTGATCCAGATAGATGTGCACCGCTCTGACTTTTGACATGCAACTAGTCATCTGATCTATCGTGCTTCCATTATTACTCACATAACTATCTAAATATATGAACTTTCGAACTATCTCCAAAGATGACTGCAGACAAAGGCTTCCGCTTATCTTGCAGAAGTACTTCACACTTCAGCAGTGCCGACTGATAACTGCTACGTTGACCTGCTGGTCGGGTTTGCTTGTCACAATGACCCAGCGAGCTACTGTGGTCTGAACACCTATTCCTTGAAGTCCTACCGTCCCAGACAGGTCTGTTGGGTAGTGTTAAGACAGAAAGCAGTCACCATCATAATGTAGATTTTTACACTATGATGGGAATCCGGGGATGAGCTTGTACTGCTGACTAGCTGGGGTTGGAAAGCTGTAAGGTGTTTTTCTCAGCAGTACCATGCTGATGCTCCCTTCCTTATGAAAGTGGTTTAGAGAAGGTCTGGTGTATAAGTAGTATACTCCCCCCTGGTCTGTGCTCTTCTGGTGCCAGATGTATGGGCCTACGTATCCGGTATTAGAACAACCAAATCGAAAACCAACAATCCTCGAATGGCTGTGTGATAGGGGTCAAGCAGTTGTCTCACAGGTTGTACAGTCACACAACCTTTTTCTCTTCTAGGTACTCTGCAGAAACAATTTCCATGGTGTGTGCAACCGAGAAGTAACAACTGCTCGCACGTTTCCAGTAGTGTACAAAACTTACCCTCACCTTGGTCGCTGCCTCCTTTGCTTTCTCTTCTTGATAACAACACGAAGCCTTTTACAACTTCCTCAACCTCTCACTCTGCGACCATTTCCAAGGATCTAAGCCTGCGAGACAACATTCTTAGCCTCTTGAAACCCCCTGTCAACTTCACATCGGAGCTTTCAACGTCCAAACCCTATGCCAGATCGGACAGCAGACATCTCTTACCACAACTTTCGAATATCCAGCCATAGATGTATGCTAGGTTTTTAAAACACGTACACAGCGCCCGAATGTGGTTATTCCCTTGACCTTATCTGGGCAATGCAATGAATCACCAAAATCCACTTTACGGGTTTCCGGACATTTACTGGCTTACTGTCATGTACTCACTGGCATAAGTATAGTACTAAGTTTTCTAGCAGAAAGAGCAGTTCTCGACTGGATACTAATCAAAAGCCATTTGTGTGATGTCTAATGGAATGGGTCTGTAAGAACAAGAAAGGGTTATGAGACCTGCCGATGCCTGTTTTCAATCTCCGTCCACGCACGCATCGACTACAGTTCGGGTGACGCAAAGGATGAAATCTATCGAGAGCTATCAATTTTTCTACATAAAGCAAATCCTTCAGACATTATCATAATAGCAGGCAACTTCAACACTCAAGTAGATAAGCGGAGCCATTCGGAAAGGCACCCTGAAGGTAATTATCGCTAAAGGCTGGAGCTCTAGAACAGCAAACTTGAGAAAACCAGGGAGGCAGATTTCACACCTGGACGATGGTACATCGGTCATATTTTCACCCTCCTATGGGTCCTAAAACACAGTCATACCTACCGGCCAGTAGCTGACACCTACCATATTTCTTGACCTGAAGGCGGCATTGGACTCTATCCACCGTGAGGTGTTGTGACAGTGTCTGACTTTGAAGGGAGTACCCACATAGTATATAACGCTAATCAAAGCTCTCTACTAGAAATCACGTAGCTGTGTAAGGGTTCATGCAGAGTTGTCGTGTGAATCGACGACAACTAGTGGTGTTTGCTAGGGATGGCCACTTTCATCGTTCCTGTCTGACTTCGTCATAGATGTACTAATGGATATAATCATAGGTATGTCTGACTTCACAGGGATTAACCTACTCCCTGGAGGTCGACTTGGAGCACACGGACGACATTGTCCTGCTGGGTGAAGACGCCGACAAAATGTACAGGGTCTTGTGAATGTGTTGAGCAGAAATCTGAATATGTTTGGCATGTGTTTGTCTGTCACTTGTAAAATCTAAGATGATGCCACAGGACTGGTCTGTTGCACATGCTCCAAGTTTAATAACAGAGAGTGAAGTATTCGAATGTGTCGACCACTTCACTTGGGGAGTTGTCTCAGCTCGAATGGGGTGGTTGCTGATGAAATCTCAACTCGGATACAGAAAGTCCGTTTAGCGTTTGCCTACCTGTGTCGTCTGTCGCGTCGGCTAGATATCCGACTACCTGTTAAACGACGAGTACACTCCGCTGCTGTCTGTTCTGTCCTAAAATACGGCTGTGAAACTTGGTCGTTGAAAGTAGAGGACATGAAGCGGTTATAGAGTTTTAATCACAGATGTCTTCGTAGCATTGTTCGGGTTTGATGAAACCACTTCGTCGAAAAACGTTGAGGTCACGCGAATAGTAATAGGCAAGTCGATTGAGGAGGTTGTGAACTTCAGTCGACTGAGATGGCTTAGACGTACCACGCATTCCAAGCCACCACCCACTTTGATATACCATGCTAGAGGGTGTTGGATTATGTTGGAAGAAGTTTTAGGGTGGCCAGACCAGGACGTGTTACCAATCGATGAAGTTTTATTGTTGGTCTGAGTCATGTGAGATGCAGACTACCTGATTGTTGTCCGTGAGATGAAAGGGATCATTGGTTGAGGACTCTTGTTGACACAAATGGAAATTGGCTACAATGGCGCAGATGTATTGACTCCTTAACAGTTTCTAAAGCCTAAATATTCGCACTTACCATTATCTCCAAACTAATCCTTCTTCGGCTAACATCATGCGACGAATTGGACGGTGACTAGGCATATATAGCATAGCTACCTCAGTCAGTGAAAAATTACAATCTCACTAACCGATCCATCTCCTCTGCCTAAGACTACATCTAAACTTTACATTACTTGGTGTGAAACCACCAACGCTTTGAAGGCAACGGTGATTGAACACCTGAGACATTTTCATGTCCTTCAACATCACGTTTCAAAGCCATAAAATAGAAGAGAGTGGCCACATGTTCAGTACACCCCTTCAAGTAGGCAGTCTGACTTTTCTGGCCCATAATAAATGGTGCCAACGCCAAATGAGCCTTTTGTATCCTCATACGGATTTCACCAGCTGGCTGACCAACTAGTTCTGATTCGAATCCTCAAGTAAGTGAAGTAGTCAACACACCCAGCCACACTCGTCTCCCCATTTTCGAACGAGATATCGACGCAAACCAGTTGAGGAACGCATCTTGAGGCGTCTAGATGACCCTGCATCTTGTCAACGTTCTCATTTAGCATGACTCGTTTCCCTGTAGCCACATAATCGAAGCTGCTTTTTTTATCACTACGAACCACATCAATAGACAGTGTTTTACTCAAGGGTTTGTTTTATAAAAGTGTTTATTCGATATATAGTCATCTTACACTAAACACGTTAGTATTAACTTATTACTTCCTTTTATCTCCCTTTCTTCACAGAGGGTTGAAAGTCAGAAGAATACGTAAACGTGTATATACATATGGAAGTGCTTTTTCAGTACTACCAACCGTTTGACAAAATATAACTGTTAGTGATTATTACTTTTTCTTCTTTGAAGATTTAGAAACTTGTTTTTTAGTTGAAGGCTGCTTTGAACTATATTTCTGCACGATCTTATCTAGAAAGTTTTCTGATGACTGTAATACATTTTCATGTCGAGCTTGAATTGCCCTAGCTAACGAATCTAGGTCAGTCTTATCGCCATCGTCCTTCCTTTGCCTTTTATTCTTCTCTGCCCTTGCAAACCGCTTCTCTTCCTCCAGTGCCCGCTTAGCTCTTCCTGCAGCTTTCTCGGGGCGTTCGTGCGTATAATTCTTGAAAGCTTTAACTTTGCCTTCAGATATTAGTTTATCAATGAGACTTCGAACTCTGGTTTCATCTTGATAAGATGTGAAAATTAATGACTCCATTATAATATCCATATCTCCCTTAGAACGGTTGTAGAGTTTAGTTAAATCTTCAGTTTCTTGTTCACTGCCCTTGTATTTTTTACAATATTCATCAATCTGTGCAGCAGTTATTTTTGGGAACAAAAGTTGCCAGTATTTAGCCCAGTCATCATAAGATTTGTTTGTAATCGCATCCTCTTCATCAATGATACCTAAGTAGTAGTTAGTGTACTCACAATAAAATTAATTGGAAACCTACCTGCCTCATCATATACTTTACGTTTTTCATCATCTTCCATGTAGGAATAAACTCTTGATAGTACTTGGAAGCGCTTCGTTGCATCAGATTTTGAATCGCTGTTATGGCGATCAGGGTGATGAAGCAGAGAGAGCTTATAGAAAGCCTTACGAACTACAAATAACGCTTCATAATATCTACTTACGTTCTGTTTTTGGACATTCCTTAGCCACCCCTAGAACTTCATATAGATTCTTCGTGTAGAAGTACTTATTGCATTCCTTCAGCAAATCTGACATTTATATGGTTCCAGACACCTATAAGAAAAGTTATTTAAGTTGACAATGCCAACCGTCACGCCAAATAACAACCGAAACGGTATTTTTTTTAAACTCAAGATTTCCTCCTTTCCCATCGATACTCAAGTTTGCTTTTCTGTCAGCTTAGTCGCGTTTAAAGGAAAGCGACATGACTGAGCATGCTAGGTCGTTACACATTGAAGACCATATGTGGATACAAACACGATAGTGCCACAGAGTGGCGTAACGCCTTCATTTTCGACATCCGTAAGCTTATCTATTTTGTTACGCTTCCGACAGCAATTCGAAAATACTTAAGTCTATTCACTGTATTCAGTCAGTCTGCGCAGACAGTATAAAAATTGAAACAATTAGTCCCTTTTATGAATTTTGATGGCATAATTAGATGAAGTTTATCTGAACAATGTGGTATATTTGCGCAATAGATTTCGAACAATCTGATCACACATTTACTTGTCAATATATATTAAACCGACGAGTGGGGAGACAAATACAACAATTAACACAATAGGGGATTAAAATTAAGAAAGATGAGAAGAAACAGGAAGTGGCATAGTTAATCCTAATCTTGGTAAGAAAACAAAGTTTACCAACGTATGTGTAGTGTACACGAGCAAATTGTTTTTGCACACATAAAGGTGGTTTAAATTTCCGTACGGCTATGGCTTCCGCGAATCTCAGAATTCGTCCCTGATTGTTCCTATATAAAACTTTGAAAGCTGTTTGAACATTGACTTTATGACCTGATTCTATGATATGTTTAGCTTTAGATGAAGAGGGTCGTCTCCCACCAGCGTTTATCACTGTTTCACACTCCATTCGTTTCTGAAGCCATTTAGGTGCATGTTCTTCCACGCTCAACTACATGACTCGACTACTCTTCCCTATGTATGTGTGTCCACTCACACACAAGTAAATTGGTAAACACAATGGGATGTGACGTAATCACTGATGCAGTGTTTAAGTTTTCGGTGGAGCATGTGTTTTGTTTTTTCCTTTATGATAAGATTCGCCGCGTAATATGTTTTCTTAATGGCTGATATCAAAATGATGCTACTCAACTCCCCTTTGCATGGTAGTGATATGGACGCTTTTCTTAGAAACCGTGTATAGGGTTGGCTTTGGTGCCACTTGACCTCTACAAGTTTATCAACTACATCGGATATCCATCTTACTAGCCAAAACTCTAGCATCTCCAGCCTTGGACGTGTGCTGTGCTAGTACGACAAATATATAAAACCCAAGTATGTCTGTTTAATTAACCTTATCTGGCCAGTGTGATGAGTCTGCGAAATTCGCCCCTCGAGTATCTACCGACTTGCCGGTCGGTTTTAACAGTCTTGTAGGCATAGGAATGGCTTTAATTTTTAGAAGAAGTGCTCTACTCAAGTAAATCCCAGTTGAAAATCTTCTTAGTAATATTTGCTTACGTACCTGCCGACTGCAGCTTGGATGGAGTTAAAAATGAGTACTATCGCAAACTTTCTAACCTCCCACTGAAGGTCAAGTGTTCACATATGGTCGTCGTTATAGGTGACCAGTGCATAAATAGAGAGGCCAAGCCAGTCAAGAAAGCACGTAGGTGGTACTCTTGAAATTCTAGCTTAATGAACGAAGAGTGGTGATTACCTGCTAGAACTGTGTTCAGACGACCACTTATTTCTATAAAGCGCGAATTTCAAACAGCGAGATATTATTTGATTTAGCGTTCACCGTTCTCAACGGTGGACATAAATGTACCATATCACTATGAAAAGTTGATGATAAAGTCAGTAAACTGCCACTTTTTCTCGAGCATCTACTTGGATGATGGTGACATGTCAGTTCAAGGGTGCATATATCTACTCCCAAATGGACGCTTACCAAAGGCACCAAGCCACTATTTTTTTTAGCTGTGCACATGATTTCAAGAGTGCATTCCTTGTCCCTAAAACACAAAAACATTGTCATCCGTGGATAAACCGTGAAATCCGAAGTTTGTGATGAAAAAGAAAGTGTTGGTGTCTCGTCTATAACTCTGGTTCTCCTTGTGCCAAAGGAGCCCGGAACAAATGTGTCACTGCTATCTACTGGTCCTGAATATGCTTTGAAACACGTCTTACCCAAACTGCAGTGCGAAAACCGAATAGGCTGTTACCTCATATTAACTACAGGACTTAAACATATCGTGATATCCCCGCCCTAGTCGAAGGGACAGAAAATAACCGGTTAGTTGAAGACGATAATGCAAATAGAGAGGTTAAGGGTGGGTGTTTTACTCAGAAATCTACGGATACAAATTTAGCAGTAAGAGCATTGACATCCAACAGAAGAGACTCTGTGGACATCGACTGCAATGATGTATTTCAGACACGAAGTAATCTGGATGTAGAAAAATCAACGGGACAGGATGAGGTCCGCTCCAGATGACTCAGGTGTCTTGCACTCTATGTAACTGGTTCATTGGGTGCTATTTTTAGACTCACCTCCCTATGACTGGAAAAATGCTACAGTCAGCTATCTACCAGGCAGGTTCTAGGCAGCACCTGTCAAATTACAGACCGATAAGCTTGACTAATACTGCAGTTAAAATCCTAGAGAGTAACCAAGAAATTTATTACGATCTACCTAGAAAACGAAACTTTACTGTCTCGTTCGCAACATAGATTTCGCAGAAGTTTCTCTTGCATGACGAACCTTCTCATAGAAAAAGTTCGGTGAAGACTAAGGATGACAGGATACCTGTAGATGTCATTTTCACAGACTTAAGTACCTCATCCCAGGTTGCTCATGAAACTAAAAGGTTTCGGAATCACTGACAATCTACTTGCATGGACTAGAGAGTTCATTGTTGGTAGGAGACAGACAATCAGTTCGCAACCCTGCTCTTGAAAGTTAGTACCGAGTGGAGTGCTGCAATGCAGTTATGGCTCCCCTGCTGTTTCTATTGAACATAAATGAACTGCCGAATATGGCGAGGTCCCCCATGGTTCTCTACCCCAATAATATAAAAATCTGATGAGGAATTAGAGATGATGAAGATGTACGTATACTTTAAGCGGACCTAAACAGTTCGTTAACCTGATAAGAGAAATGGCTGACGCCCATCAACGCAGGTCAGTGACTGATTGACTGACAAAGTCAACGTAGAACCTCGCACACAGGTGCATCAGTTCAAGTTGCCACACTTCACAGTAGTACCTAGGAGTCATAGTAATTCATTTGATTTGCTTTCGTAATCTTCTGCTGTGTGTCACAGCTGTTACCTCATGAGAGGTAAAATAGATTAGATTTAAAGTCATTTCTCAAATTGCCGCGCAAACACGTTCATCGGCGCCAGTTGCCACACTTTACAGTAGTACACAAGGATCTGGTGGACAGAGAAAGCGTGATATAAAAGTAGACAAAGTTGTGTAGGATAACAAGCAATCTGAAGATAAAGGTTATAACGAATAGTCAAGCTTTAGAAGATGCCAAAGAGTAGATACACTGTGACCGATTTTTATTGCAGAGGTTCAAGCCAGGCTCCATAAAAACAGGCGAGTAGGATAACAAGACACTGAAGAAACTTCTATGAAATAAATGTATCTAAAACTCCACACTGAGGAAACAGGTACCCGAAACTAGTAAGTAACCAAAAGAAGTTAATCCGAAAAGTTCCTAGTCGAAAAACGCAATAAACTCTAGTGTGCGTACGCAAAGCAATCTACTGGAAAAAGACTACTATAGGCTCATAATCGTTAATTTGAAACTTTTTGTTTACGTTCCTTTTACTTAAAAGTACTGAACACAACGATTCCCTAAATTATCATAACAAACGTCTAGGCAATTCCAAAATTCCTAAGTAAAATGCGTTCGTAGTTACCAAAACAACAAATGTATTTGAAGAGCATATACTCGTTGTTTATATATATATATATATATATATATATATATATATATATATATATATATATATATATATATATATATGCTACCGACACTTTCGGGTGTACTTTGGAACATGACATTCCCGGGTAAAAGATTTGGAACTTTCGAAGAATGTCGTGCGTCGCCCTATACGCGTTCAAATTATTTCTTTGAGTTTTTGCTTAAAACTTACTAAGTGCGCCTGAAGTAAACGCTGCCTGGGATGCGAGCAATTATCCACTTACTAAAAATATAAAGCTCATAAGCATATGTCAGTTGCAGACTACTATATAAAGGGCTATTTAGGAAACAAACAAACCTCAGATGAGCTTCAAGATTTATGAAATGACGAAATCAAGCCTTATACCGCGGTGACAGCCGAAAAACAACTCACTTTTTAAACTTGGAACTTTGGAAACCCTCCAGCCATCAAGGTCAAGTCCAACATCCAACATCAATAGTGTGAACAAAGGAAACTTGTAGTTTTTGAGCTCTCGCTCCTAGGTCTTGAGTTTCGGTTCTTTTTTTGGTTATACTTTTCCAATGTTTACAGAAGTCTTTGCAAATTGTAGCTTGCTTTGTCTTGGGGGGGGGGCCAACGCAGCTGCTGATTAGATCAATCAACCGTTTGCATTTCCTGTTATTGTAGGCACCTGCAGGTAAATGTTAAGCGTTACTTAAAAGTGATAAAAATGGGGTGCGTTGTAAATGAGAAAAAGAGGAGTGAAAGGCACTTGTGAAAAGATAAATGTAACTGGTAATAATATGGAGGAGAGATGCGTCCTATTGCAAATACTAGGGTTAGGGAACACAAGGGTGGAAGGGTGAATCATCATTTGCTACTGGTAAGTGTTCGTAGTAAGCCATTTGCGCTCACCTACTCATCCAGTAGTCGTTTTAAGGGGTTGACTGACGTGGCTATGGCTGCTTCCTTCGCAGAGCGTTCCACAAGGCACATACTCCGTGGGAGGAGTTGAACCTCACTCTCGTCTTTGCCCTATGGTGGGGTATGTGGGTGGAGTTCCCACGGGATCTGCGGCTTTTGTCCGAAAACGTTGTCCTATTTGGGTAGTCCACTTGGTGAATGATCTTGTAGGCTGTTATCAGGTCACCTCGTTTCCTCCTATAGCCTAGAGTGAATAAGTTGAGTTGTCTGAGGCATCGAGCATTTGTTTTGCCTGTTAGTCCGACAACCGATTTTGTTTCTCTTTTCTGTACCTTCTCGAGAGTATTTGCGTCTCTCTTTAGTAGTGGGGAGGCCTACAATGGTGAGCACCTCTAGGTGTGGCCTAACATAAGTTTTAGACACCATAAAGAATAATCCTGGGGTTAGCAATCGGAGCTGCCTTCTCTGAAACTGTGTAATGGCGTTTGCCGTTGCTGCCGTTCCCTTATAGATCCCAGTAGTATCCAGTGTTTTGGAGAAGTTTAGTCCCAGGTCCTTCTCTGTGGATACCTTGATGATTGCATACTTGCTAAGAGTGCAGCTGATTCTCATCGCTTCTGGTGTACGAAGATACATCACCCTTCATTTCTCCAGGTTGAAGCCTAAGCCATTTGCAGCTGACCAGGACTCCAGCTGCAACAAGTCGTTTTGGAGTATCCAAGGTTCATGTTCGTCGCCATCGCCCTCCATATTTTAATGTCGTCAGCGAGTAGGAGGATAGATGAGAAGATTTTAATGGGGAGGTCATTTGTGAATAGTAGAAGTAGGAATGGCCCAAGGAACCCAACGGTGTCAAAGGGTTCAAATGATTGTTGACAGAATAGATGGGGTTTTCGCTTAACTAGCCTCCACGTCTAGAATCGTTGGATCACTGGTTTCTGTGCTTGTTAACCTGGTTCCCTTATGTAGAAGGCCAGTTCGTTCTTAGGGGAACTACCTCACAACAGATCAAGGCAAACTTGATGATTGTAAGCCTTCTAGAGAACACTATGGGACAGATTTTTGATGTGCCTGATAAAACTGGTCCAAACCTTTATGGCTATCGCAATCCAGCTGTCATCACAAGTGTTGCTTCTACTGACCAGCAAAAGGTACAGAAACCCTATCGTGATGTTCAGCTGGGCAGTAGTAAGCCTATACAAATGCTACGCCAGTTGCAACAGCTTGTTTCTGATTTCAAGGTGCACGATTCTTTTCTCAAACAACGGTGGATTCAAAGCCTTCCGCAGTTGGTTCAAGGTATCCTAGCACCTTTCCATTAGTTTCTACTGGTGGAATTAGCTGAGGCTGTGGATGGGGCGGTGGGAGCAACGCGACTGCAACCTGGACTGGCAGCAGCTATAGGCACGATCACTAGAACCAGCCTTGCTGCAGGCACTTACTCGTCAGGCACAATTTCAGTTTTTGACCCTATAGCTCATATTAGTGGGTTGTATGCAGAGCTCCGAGGCATCCGCAAGGAGATGAAGAAGCATTAACCACCATGCAATCATATTGCTCGTTCGCATTCCTGATTTTCGGCAAACCATCACCCCATTATACCACAGCCAAAGGACTGGCAACCTGGAACTTGTTGGTATCATAAGCGCTACGTTACTGACGTGAACAAGTGCACTAAACTGTGCACGTTTGCCCCGAAGTAGCTGAGAAACTTGCACGCCAACACGCGAGGGCTAATAACATCCTTGGTGAGCCCCGATCTGCCGCCTCTTCTGTATAACCGACAGACATTCAGGGATACGCTTCTAGGCAGATATCGGAGAGGAAGCTAGCGCAACCCCACGCACTACAGAGGAGCGACTGCTGCTCGCTGCCAACGGTTTACCTATCACCACATACAGTTGCAAGGTACTCGATATTAACCTGTGACCATGCCCCTCGTTTCGGTGGGTTTTCACTATTGGTGACCTGACCAATGCTATAATCAGTATAGATCTCGTGCAGCACTATCAGCTGGTCACAGATGCAGGTAAGCGCAAGTCAACGAATTCTACCGCAATAGTCTGCTTCCGGTGTTGCTACCAGCCCCTTTTTGTTTAACCAGTGCGGCCAAACCCTGGCATTTCACAGTTCTGCGCTTCCACCATCTAGTCGTCTCCAAACGTTTTCAAGCCAGCATTCAGTTTTTCCGCCTTAACGTCTAGTGTTTCGCACCACATGATTACAACTGTTCCATCAGCCTTGCCAAACCTCGACGTTTATCTCAGGATAAACTGCCGGCCGTCAAGAGTGAGTTCGAGAATGCCCAGGAAATGAGCTCCTTTAGACCATCCAACAGTTCACAGTCCTCTCGTTTGCGTGTAGTCCCGAAGTGATGCCGTAGACCGTGTGTCTTGTGGTGACCATCGGCGGATCAACGACAAAACGATGCCGGGTCACTACACAGTGCCCCATACGCGTGACTTAACTACAACTGTGAAAGATGACAGAGCTTGACTTGATGCGCACCTATCGTCAAGTACCCAGGCACCTTGATAATATATCGAAGCTAGCAGTCATTGCACCATTCAGTCTTTTTGAATTTCTCCGCATGCCCTTAGAACTACAAAGTGCCGCTAATGACAATCAACGGCGTGAAGTGGGCTAAATCTCTGCGTTTGGTTCTTAGCGTGCGTTTGACGCTCAAGACGGATAGTCAGTGAACTCCCGCTGGGTTGACCTACACTTTCCCGGTGGACTGGTTGCTCTAAATTTTAGTGGCTTAAATCCTGCGGATATCAGCGGTTATACTCAAACCCTTAAACTTAACACACCTCGTCTCCAACCTATATTCACACAAATCCAGTGAAGAGTACAGTTGGACAAAAGACTTCAAGGTTGCATACACATCTTTGTGCTGCGATGACGTTCGGGAACCCTTACAATCACGAAACGACGAACCTTTCAAGGTTGTCAGCGAAGGGGAGTTCTTCGTCATCGATAGGTTGGGACTGCCAGACACCATAGTTGTTGAGCGCCCAGAGGTGGCCTAGATTGATGACGATTCAACCCTCACTCCAATAGCATCACCACCGCAACCGGCCCTGCAGAAAACGAAAAAAGACTCTTTGGCTCGGAAAAATAGTGAGTCTGAAAGAATAAACCACTGACAAACCGTCGTCCACGCGTGCTGTTCGACATGTCCACTGAAACAAACGCCTAACAGACTTTATCAACTAGTCGTCTAAGAATTTGATGTCTGGGCAAGTCTTAGGATTAATACGCTTCTAATTCCATGTTTGTTTACGGCTTTCTTACACTGCCAAAAACGTACTTAGTGGGTGTGTATAGCTGCTCTAGCTTCGGGGACTCACACCTCACCTGTTGCAGTCCCGCCTTGCAGTTACCTCCCAGAGTCGATGATTGCCGGTGTTCCAACAACCCTCTATGAACTGGCCTCAGTTCTCTAAGTTTGCTTTAGCGTGTAGGCATCCACCCGTCAGCATTCACCAGTTAAGAGGCTTCTTTGTGCTGACCGGAAGCAACTAGCTCATGGTTCGTAGCTTAGCCACTAATAGGTGGATAAGTTAACATTCTTTCTTCGATATTACCTCTTAACCGCTGACTAATAGACAAATTGTTTGTTTGAGTACTTCTTATAGTATATGGTGTTTTCTGATTCGTCTTTAGTTATCACTGCTTACACGCTGGTAGGGCACTCATCATCTTGATGATGGCGTGAACTGATTTATATAAGGTTGGTCAGGTGTTAGTCACGATCAGTGTTAGTAACGCGATCAGGTCTCCTTAAAGCAAAACTGAAGAGAGATCAAATAGTGGCGGTTAAAACCTGAAAATTCACTCAGTTCTGAGCAAACTGCGTCTATACCTCAAGTAAATACCAGGTCATCACTTAAAGAAATCAGACGAAGCAGCCAGGATGACTTACACTGGAAGAGCATCGCAAAGTTTAGCAACCCTTGGGAGACAGGAGTTGTGCTTGATACGTAACCTACAATGTTCCAAGCTTAGCTTCCTTGCATGTCCTCCAAGATTTGGGCTGCATCTAAGATTCATTAAGTGACGGAGTAGGTGTCCAGAGGTGTTTAAGATGTTGTGAGCAATCACCAGGTTTACACTTAGTCCTACGCACTACACAGGAAGTAGATCGAGCGTGGCCGGTCGTTCTTCGTTTGTTATAGGCCTGATTCCTGAAACAGATTGGCTCCAACGCCTCTTGGTGCGTTTTAAGCCTAATCAGTCATACCAATGTTGAGCTTTAGAAAAGAAGGTCAATTAGCCTGCTTTAATCTTGGCAACACAAATCTGTGCGAAGTACTAGATTCTCCTTGAGAGCGTCTGCCAAAGTAGCAGCTACTACAAGATCTGGTAATAAGTTCTATTGGTTGGCCACCCTGTGAAAGAATATGAGTTCCACTCGCGGTTTGTTGGAACTTGGCTTTTGAGTTGTTTGTGATAACTGTTTTACATGACTGGCTTGAGAGGAAGTAAAAATTGCACATATGTCTACGCCCAAATCGTTACTCAA